GTTGGTCCCTGCGAGCGCCATGGCTGGCACAGACACCTCTTCAGAGGCACAATCTGGCTTCCTCCCGTCCGCTAAGATTTCAGTAGCTCCGGTTTCTGCAACACTTCCGCAGGGTTTACAAATCGGTCTCAGTGCGGTTCTGTTCCTAGGCAGGGTCCAGCTGGTGAAGTGAAAACCAGAAGTGAGCAGCTGAGCTGCTGGTGACACGCGATGTGGCACGGGGGGAGGAGCAGCAAAGGGCGTCTGCCGCCCAGCACTCGGCATGACGCAGCCATGTACCGCTGAGGCAGAGATAAGCACTCCAGCCACCCAAAAACAGCCCCAAGGTTGGGAGCTGGCTGGGCACGGCACGGTCATGCTCCGCAGAGCTGTGCTCTGCCTGGTGCCAGCGCGAGCCCCTGGAGGCACCGGCCCTGCAGCCAGAGAGATGCTCAGCCATGTGCTGGTGAAACAGCTGGGTCGCACTTGTGGCTCCGCTTCAGCCGAGCACAACGCCTTGGAGTGCTCTCCACCAGTTCGGCGCTTGGACATAGCCGGTGAACCAAGGCCCACAGGCTGCACCTGAGTCAGCTCATTTAAAATCTGAGGAGAGCGCCAGCCGCAGCTCATTGCACCTGCGCTGCTGAGCCACCAAGGGCTCTGGAAGGAGGAATCCCACAGGGGCGCGCGTCTCAGGAGCAGGAACCAGGCAGAGCCCACGCAGGCGGCCATGGGAAGATCTCAGAAGAGGTGGTCTCAAAGGCATCGCGGGAGCTGTCCCTGCAGGTAGCGCAGCCCTGGCCTGCGGGCGCCTGCCCAGCAGCCTGGCACCAGCAGAAGCAAACCAAGGGAGTGGGATGAAAGGAAAGTGCAGCGCGGGCATGTAAGGCCCTGGCGAGCCGCTCCATCCCCCAGAGAAAACAAATGCAAACCAGGCATGGTAACACACGGCTTGGGCACATAACTGTCCTCCCAACCTTCCTCTGAGTAACAGGAAGAGCTTCACTGCCTGGGGCCCTCGAGCTCCCATCCCAGCTTGGAGCAGCCTGGCCCCAGCTCTCCCGCACAGCAGGCTCGAGCCTGTGGCAGGATGATGCCTGCTCTTGCCGCAGAGCAAGCTCACCCACTGCTGCCCTGAAACATGGTGCCCTTGGGGAGCCTCGGGGCCTGTCTCCTCCACACCCCTCTGCTCTCAGCCAGCTCAGCTGCTTCTTTCTGTTCTCTTCCAGTTCCCTCCCTGCAGACCCTCTGCCGGCTGGTCATCCAGAA